ATATCAATTTTAGATGAAAATTTTAAAATACCATACATTTCTATATAGAAATGATCTACATTACCCCCTACCCTTAATACAAATATAATTTCAGGGTCAGGTGCGAGTGTCAAATTCACAATATCTAATTTAGTTTAGTGGTATTTTGATACAGTAAAGCGCACTGTCCTGACAGGAAGTTTGCGCACGGACATTCCCGATATAATAATATAATCTAACACAATCATATGGTATTGGAAACTTATGCTTGCGATAACATACCTTGCCGGCCAAGATCAATCCACAATGGGCAATCAGATGCCTATATGATTGAGTTTGTTAAAAAGCAACATTTTTGTGATAAAAGAACCAACTGTAACTTCATTCTTTGTAGTAAGCACTACAAGTTACTCGTCAGTTTTGATCTCCAGACACGTGATTACGAAATAAAGAAACTGCAACTTAATTAATGTGTCTTTAGCATTAATAACGATAAAAAATATCACTGCCGTAATTTTAGAAAGCCGGACATCATTCTGCTCTTATCTCAGGTAACATCTTCACTATCAGGGGTTATCATCGTAAGCTTATATATTAAGCATCAGCAAATCACCATGTATATGACTATAAAGACACATTCATATTAAATCAAGATATAGTTAGTGCACTTTCTAAATATACACAAACATTTAAATGGGTCTAGCTACATATAAATGGGTCTAACTACATATATACTTTAGAATTTCAACATATAAAGTGACAGACTGTTGAAGAATCGGGCATCGGTATCTATAGTTCATCTCTATTAGAAAAACCTGGCGATTAAAGAATTATAAATTATATTTTGTCATTATAGGCGCGAAAATCAATTAATGAATCGTTTCTTGTTAAAATTTAACATTTACTTTTTCATATGATCCGATGATCATTTCCTATAGCTTAGACAGCCCAGAGGCTAGCGCTAACACTACATAAAAATTTTTATCGTTATATATAACGCCAAATTAACTGTAGTGTAACTATAAATTGGTCGAAATCTTGCAAAACCGGAACTTTAAACAATTGGGCCTTATAGACTTTCCTGTTACAAAAAGCAGATACTATACTGCTACGTATATCGATATGTAAATTTTTATCTGCGTACTTGGAAGTCGGAGTTTTGTTTGTTACACTCAATAAATTCTGGCATTTTACTATACTTTTTTTTTTTTTTTCTAAAATTTTAAATTTATTACTTTACTAATGCTCTAACAATATATATGTAAATAATTATAATTATTAATAAGAAAAAAATTTTTTATATAAAGACAAAAAATTGAGGTTTCGTTCTATTGTTCTATTTGCAAACACTGGTTCTGTCTACGTATGGGAGGTTCGGATTTGCAGGGCATAGATAAATGGGGAATGGACCTACTTGAGAGCAAGTATCAGACCCTGTTTCCATTCCCAAATGTACTCTATCATAACGACCCCTTTACAAAGAATTCTGGATATAACAAAACTGTAAAACTAATGTTAGTTTGACATAGGTGTGGCCCGCTATAGATTTTGGTGCAGTGTGTCAATGTAACTGGTTTGCTTTAAGGACTTAATCCAAGTGGACGCATACACATTCACCCAACTTAATAAGGTCCAGTAAAAGTGATAAAATAACGTAAAATTGATTTTTTTACATTTAAATCTTGAATGATGATCTTCAAGCCTAGCACTCAATTTATCGTTATCATTATACGTATAACATTTAATTGATAAAAATATCCAGAATTGGATAATACAACTTTATTATTGGACATAATCATACCAGTGACCAATAAAATGGTTTAATCTTTAGAAATGAGTTTCAGTATTTTGTATTTAATGGACTGATCTTTTTAATAATCCGATACAGCTTATTTGTCTTTTTTTTTAAAAAAAACGCATTCTTTCGAAAAAAATGATTGTCCTTTCAAAATATAATGAAACTTCTCAGAACAACAGTCCTGGTGGTGTCCTGACTTATACTTATAGATGGAAAATAACCAACTGGAGTGAAGTTAGGCCTTTTATGGAGCATACTAGCCCCTCTTTTAATGCTGATGGTCTGCATTGGTGTGTATAACCTGCTTTATTTTTGCAAAAACTAATTACAACATCCTTGAATTGACTGCTGGGTTTTAAGGGTTTTTAAGGTATTAGACTGAGCTTATCTTCGATAATGTGATTTAAGACCTTTTATTTCAATTATTTTTTATGCAATGTTCGTAATTCTCTTAAACTATTGTAATTATTATTATTATAAGTTCTATAAAGGAAGACAAAAGAATCCACAGGTACTTAATAACTTAATAATTTATTATAATTTATTATACACCTACCCTTTTTTCACTTATTATTTATGTCATTTGAACTGTTTCTTTTGATAAGGCCTTGTCTTTGTATTTAGGTCTCGTAGAGACAACACCAGGATGTCTTCAAGGCATTCGTAAGAAAGTCAGTATTATTTTCGTATTGGAAAATTTGAGAACAAGAGGAATGGATTTTGGGAAGAGTATGTTTAAATTTGCTACTTTTTATTTATTTTTTATTTATTTATTATTTTTTGGTATCTTTTTTTTTTAGAATTCTTTCATGTCTGTCATTAATTAATTTATTATATATACATTATTTTTATTAGTGGAGCTGCCCGTTTGGTTCTGCGATAGTATGCATGTTTCGAATTACTATTTCATTTTTTTCTTTATTTGCTTTTGCAATATATATTTATTGATATTGAATTTACAGAACATTCTACTTGGGGAGAAGAAAATCTTATGTCTTTAGATGAAATGGATAGGTAAATCTTTTATAAACTGTTTATTTGTGTTATGTATAACCATATTTTCTAAAGTCTTATAAAACTCTATTCTTATAGATTTATCAGTAATGACACTGTTTCCCTTTGTGTCAAATTTGAAATTCAAGAATCTATCATAGATGCATTACCCGAAATTGTTAATCCTTTTAATAAGCTAGTTAACTCTCAAAAATTTTCTGATATAACTTTCCGTGTAACTGATGATTATGGACGGGATAAATTATTTTATGCTCATAAAGGAATTCTTGCTAGTTCATCGCCAGTTTTCGAAGCCATGTTGACAAATGGAATGAGAGAGACTTTTGAAGATGAAATTCACTTAAGTCAAACAAATCATTCAGCTTTTCTTTCTTTACTCACTTTTATATATACTTTTAAAGTCAATAACATGTCATTGGGCAGTGCTGAAAATTTATTGGCTTTGGCTGATAAATTTGCTATTATTCCTGTTCGTGAAGAATGTTTACGTTATTTCCGCTTGGAAATGAATACTGATAATGTATGGGGAATTTGGGCAATTGCTGGTATATTTTTACATTGGTGTATGCAGTATTTTTTTATATTCTTACCTTTATATTAACTTTTAACCTTTTATAAGAAAAATTTTCATGTGCTAAAACCTCAACCGCGTGTCGGGATTTTGTTGCTCTCAATTTGGATACTCTATTGGATAAGCATTCCACACTTTGCGCAGATCCAAACATTCTCTGCCTCGCTCTCGAAAATGATGAAGCTAATGTAACTTCTGAAGAAAAGATTTATGAACTTGTTGTTCGATGGGCAAATCATTCATTTATCAATGATTCATCCAGTAGACTATCAACTGGAAAAAATTCTTCCAAAAACATAAAAGTTGATACTTCCAAAAGCATAAAAGTTGATACTTTATCATCTACGTCACCCTCCTCATCATCTGCTTCCATGCTTTCGGAACTTCCAAAAGGTGCCGGCGATTCCAGTCAACTAGTTGAAAGCAAAGGATCTGTGGATCAGGATTTTAGCGATAATGAGACAATTGACGATGGTGATGATGATGATGATGATAATGATGAGACTGAAGGTACTCATAAGTTTCCAAAACCTTGGAAAGGTGACAGATTGGCGGCTCTTCCTTCTTTGCTGAAGTGTGTTCGATTTCCGGTGATGCAAAAACGTTATATTGTTGAAAAAGTTGAGGGAAATGCAACAGTTATGGCCGCTGAAATAATGAAAGATCTTGTGAGTGAATTTTTATTTATATCGTTCGACTTAATATTTTATCACGTATTAATTGTTTGTTCTATTTTACTTATTAGATCATTGAAGCTTATCGATTTCATTTAATGCCTGATGTGTCTATTCATCCTACTAATAGGACTAAACTTCGCAAAAAAAAGACAAAAATTACTGATTAAGTGAAATTTATATTTAGGTTTTAAACAGTAAATTAGTAGTCTTTATAAATTTGTACATAGCTCTTATGGTATTCTTATATGAACATTTCTTTTAATTGAAAATAAAACATTTGTAGACTAGTTAAATAACAACTAATATTTGATTAACAGAACTCTAATTTCGAGTCCTTTCGAATAAAGATTTTATACGTATAAAAATATTGTCTTTATTGTAACTCAATATTTTACAATGCTGCAATATCAATGATCATAAAAAGAAAGGCGAACTTCTTTTATTCTTTAAGCTAAGTTGATTATAACAAATTTTTAAATTTTATACCAGGTTGACTACTAATATTATGCTTGTTTCGGTTAATAACAAATTCATAAAAATCACATTACTTAAACTATGATAAAAATCGTTCTGTTATTAACATTTGATACATTATCAAAAATGTGATCTTTCAATTGTATATTAAAGAAACAAATAAAGCACTTTAGTTTTTGTTTGACCTCAAATACATTATCGAACGTAATTGATGCTCATATATGTACAAGAAGAATTACCGTATTTTCGCATAGCAACATCGAAGATCCTACCACATGTATGACTTCGAAATCTTAGATCAACTAATATCGGAAGATAAAATAACACACACGTGCGACGCGTACCCAAAATAACGCACGCGTGCGACGTGTACCCAAAATAACGTACACGTACGACGCGTACTCAAATAACGCATATGTGTAGATTAGAGTTGTTGGTGAAACTAAATTGTGAACAACCCTAGCATCCATAAAAATGTCGCTGACATCACCATTGACAAATTTAGATTCTCTACAATTCCCAAATTTAGTAAATTTTATATTTAATAAAGATTTAATTTCTCATACGTATTTCAAATTCAATATATTTCACATTTAGTAAATGTTATGTTAAACATAAATGCATATTGCGTAGGCATTAAAAATAAAATGTATAAATTATAATACATTGTATAAATTATAATACATTGTATTTTTATTTAGATTTTTCAAAATTAGTTTCATAATCTTTAAGGTTTTTGATATTTTCGACCATATTTCCTAATGGGGCCGAAACTAATTTTAACCAAAGATCAGAGAAGTGCATTGCTCTAATAAAAATAATAATGAATTAATAATTCTCGAAATATTTTTAAGTATAATACGTTTTACCTAATCAAGAATATCAAATAAATGATTTAAAACATTATCTGGAGCTTCTTTTTCGGCATCACTTTCGAGTAAAAAGTCTTTTTCATTAGTTTCAAGTGAATTATAGTAAAATGAAAGATTTAAATATTGAAAATTAAAAACATTATAAACTCCGTTTTCATTTACTCCAATGATTGGATAAGTGCCTTTCCTCTGAACCTGCATAAAAATAATTGTAAATAATGCGTAATAATCGTAATAATTATGTTAATAATAAAATTACTAATGTACCTACCTTTTTGAAAAAGGAACTACCAACTTCGTCAATGTTACAAACCAAGTGCATACATAAAAAAAATCGACTTTGAAGGTATGAAAGACGTGAACATGTCCCATTTTGTATATTTGTTTTATATATATATTGTCATTACTAATATTTTTTTTCATGTTTTCTCCACTCATTTTTAAACGCTTTTCTCCAAGGTACTATGTAACGTCCCTGCTGCAATAAATGGATTCGATGAAGTTGTTGTCTGACGACTTTTCGAACGAGGATATAACACAAGTGATCGATACGAGGTTTATGAAATTTATATAAATATTCATGCTTCAGAAGTCGCCAATGCGACTCAACAATCATTGTAGTCTTTATATGACTAATTTCTTTATTCGAAGCTCATTTATCATATGAATACCACTCAAACCACAAATATAGCCAATGGCTAAATAAATTATAGCTACGGCAAAAATAGTTAATTTCTGATACGGATTCTTCCCAAATAATATTTGAACTTGTAACAAATTCACCATTTGATTTCGGCAATAACGTATGGGATCTTTACGAGCCATTGTTACACGATATTTTTATTAATTTAGAAAAAAAAACCCCCATATTATGATTGTAATGATAATAAGATTTAAAAGAATTTTTCTAAGCTCTTAAGGGCAAATAATATGAATTAGCCATTTTATTGTTTTGAGGGTTCCATTCCAGAACACTCTTGATGTGCAATATAAGGATTATAATTCCGAATTTTTTTTATTTGATGATAGTTTTTGTTTAACTGCTCGACATACGTGCCATGCACATAACTGCAGATGAGATTCTGGCTAAACAAGTCGATTTCAGCAATTGCTTTATCAAGAAAATTTATTAAGTGACGATCTTTTAATGCCTTCATCAAAATTTTAAATAATCCAGTTTTTACTCATTTCAATGAAAAGTTAACTTAAGGGGAATCCTGTTCCGTCAATTACACCCATCGTTGCATATAATTTCCACTTATTATACTTTGCATCAATTTCAACAGCATCAAGTTTAGTATAAGGAAGTAAAACAAAGTGCACCAGTTGGAATTGTTATATAAATAATAATCTCTTGTTTAAATTCATTTAACGTTAATAACAAATGTGCTGATTTTAAAGAATCCGAATTACGTTGATAAATTTTTCGTGACTCTATAGACCACCAGTAATAAACTTGTTGAGTACTTAAATTGTTATAACCATCATGTTCTCTTTCTTGAATTTGTCGCCAAAGCGCAGGAACTGGATAATTTATATTATGGTGAATAAATTCACGTATTACTTGAGTTGTTTGGATATGTAAAGGGCGCAAATACTTCAATCAAATTTTGATTTTTTAGTATTTTAATATTTATAGCGCCAAGTTCGGAGTCACTTTTATACTGTTCGTTAGTTCCTTCTAAAGATCTTAAAGAATTGTAGACAAATTCGCTAATATCTTCAAAACTAATAGCTGATTCGCATTTGAACTGACATTTTTGACAAAACCGCTGAGTTGGCTCAAGCCGTATCATGTGACATGTTGTAACATAGCAACTCCCCCAGCGTAACCACCAAAAAAATCACGGGCACGTGATACTATAAGGCTTGTGTGGCTAATACATTATAATAAATTAATTATACGCACATACTTATATACAGTACATATTAGATATATTAAAAATTAGAAAGCACAAATAAAACCAAATATATGTTTTTTATTATCACTATCACTATTTATTTATTTATTACAAATAACAAGTGCTATTAGTATGACCCCTCCATGTCAATGGCATAGTTCTTTTTCGGTTATACTTTTTAACTTCTTTAACTAATTTAGTAATAGGGTCAAAAGATTTTTTTGCCGCATTACATCATTTTATATTACCAGCTAGTTTTTGTTCTTCTAAAAGTTCAAGTGCCTTTTTGGTTGTAATAATTAAATCATCAAACAAGCTATCATCTTTGTTAACTGATTCATTTATTACTAATAAATTATGCTAGTTATTTGAATTTATATCTGCAGAATCATAATAATCATTTGGATCTTTATCTTCAAATAATAAATTTTCTTTAATCAAAAAAGAAGGTTGGCAATTTCATTTTATATTGTTAAAAAAATCAGCATTAACATTTCTTTTTTGATAAACAAGATGCTTACAAATATTGAATCAGCTAGTTAAATAATAAGAACAGTCACAAATTCACTTATTTATATTAGTTGTATATGCATTATTAATAGGTTGTTTGGTTAATGCATTCTATTCTGATTTAAAATCTTTAATCCATTTGGGTTTTTTCCTTCCAATATAAATCTGTTGTAGTTTTTGTTATTGATGAATAACTACTTTTTTCATTAAAATATATTTAACAAGATCTATTTGTGAATGAAAAAACTTATATAAAAAGTCTCACTTAATTGTCTTTTAATACCTTTTGATAAACATTGTAGTCTTTAGTTTAGAGATTTTGTTATCACAAGATGCTCACGTCCATAATTCCTATTTCAAAGTATAGTATTACTCTGTAAAAAGATATGATTACAGTAAAATTAGAAAATTATTTTTGCAAAATAAATACATTTCTAAGACTGATTCTTCATAAATAATTTCTTTTGTTAAAAATTGTCCTTCACTTGTTAGAATTAGTAGATGCTTATAAAAATATTTTTTTATAATAAATCATATAATTGTTCAAAGCTTTTTTAAATAAAACTGTATCATTTGTTGAATTCCATTAAAAGAAAATTTTTTTTCAAGTTCCAAAAAAGGATTAAAACCTAATTATCAAGTAAGTTTATTATTAAGTAATCTTGTAGTAATGGTTTTTTTAAGATGTTATTTACAAAGTTAGATCTTATTATATAGTTATACAAAACATGCTACATTAATTTGTGAATAGTCTTTGTCTGTTAAAAAAAAATTAATCTCTAATCCTTAATCTTGAAATGTAGTAAGAAATCTTTGTATTACTCCTGTTCGTATACTATTTTTGCATGATCATTATTTTTAAGAAATAAATATGACAAAAGAAACCTAGCACTATTTACTTCTGCATGCAAAATGTACAACTCAAAGCCCAAATTGTTAGTATTGTTTTAAAAGATACAGTAATACAAAATTAAATGATTTTATTAGTATAGTACATTTATAGCATTCATATATTAAATTATTATATATTCGTTCAATTTAGTGTTGGCAGCAATAGATGAATAAAACAATAGAACAATAGAATAGAGCAATAGAATTTAGAATAGAATATAAATTTCATCAATAG